GCCTCATCCCTTCTTACTCAGCCATGATCGACGATCCCCCCTCTCTCCCGCACACATCATCGTCTTTACTAGATCCTGCAAACCTCCTGGCGTGGCTCCCGTCTCTATGTGCCACACCCTTTACCCCCTCAAGGAGAACAGAGGCTCCAGAGGGACATACGCGGTACAGAAAGCGAGGACGCGCTTCTTGGCCCAGTTGGTGAGTGTGTAAACCCCAAGCCTGCTGCATTTGTAGAGGAGAGGAACTGGAAAGACACATACCAAAATGGGGCCCATGGCTTATCTTGGGGGTGGTGAGATGGTGATTGCTTTTTTCTTCTTTATGGTTAACTGTTTTCGTAAAGTTTATGCAATAAAAGGATTACTTCTGAGATGAGAAAAAATATCAATAGAGGTTGTTATTCTAGAAAATACCATCAACAGCCCCCTACTGCCCACAGCACGACTCTAATCTCTTTATGCTTGCAAGGCGGGCCCTCCCAGCCTGGGGGTCCCAGCAGCCCCCAGCCCCACACCGCCCCAGCTGCTGACCTCCAGCTGCACCTCCCTGCCCCTCGGGGTGGGGCGGGATCCCGGGCCTATCTCCCACCGCCTGTTTGTCCTCCGAGGTCTTGGCCTCCCCGAGAAGTCTCCTCCTCTGTGCTCCCCTGGCACCCCATGACTGCCGCTGGGCTGACAGGTCAGTGGCCACCTCTCCCATTCGCCCCCTGCCTTCCCTACACCTTTCCCTGCTCCCTCCATGGGCTGACGTGTACGGACTTCATCCCTGGGCCCTCTACGTCCTGGTGTTCTTTCCGTTCAGCCAAGGGGGAGCCCCACCGGGGAAGGGAGGATCGTGGGGTGGACACACGTGCCCCCGCTCCCTCCCGTGGAGTCACCTCGGGCTGCTGGTCATCCGCTGGAGGCCCCTCTCCGGGGCCCTGGCCGGTGTCTGCACAACGCTTCACCCCGAGGCTTCTCCCTTATCCCAATGGGCCAGCACGGTTGCAGCTATATCCCGTGTGGCTCCCCCACACCCTCTCTCTGGAAACGGTCCCTTTGTAGGCACCCCCCTTGAATTATTCTATTTTGGGGTGTCACCTCTTTCCTGTGGGGGCTTTCCTGACGCACTGTCAAAGGAGGGGACAGGTCTCGTTGACACCTCTGGCGTGTGGGTACACAGCAGGTGCTCTGTAATTGTACGCTGAGAGAGAGAATGCGTGACGGCTCAGGAGTACCCGTCTTGGATGTGCCACACTCTTGGCTCGGAGGTCCGCCCTGGTGGGGGCCCACGCCTGCTGCTCAGGCCCACGTTTGGCCTCTGTGCACAGATGGGCCTGATTCTTCAGCCCTCCCTGAGTCCACGTCACCTGCCTCCCCGTCTCCACCAGCTGCCCCAGGGGCCCAGGTGGGCTGAGATCTGCAGAACCCCCGAGCCACCCCCCCGGGTGTGTGAGCAGTAATGCACTGTGCTTGTCTGCGGTGCAGCGTTACTGTGCCCGTGGATACCTGATGCACAACCGGCACAGTCCCATGTGCCATTCGCCCTTCTCGGTGACCCCGAGTGGAGGGGGAGGGGCCCGCTGAGGTGCACAGAGGTCGGCGACGTGCTGCGGTCATGAGTGGCAGGGCCTGGGTCGGGGCCTCTGCTTTTGGTCTTCGAACCCCGTCACCTGACAGACCCACGAGAGCTGCCCTTCCAGGCTGCCTCTGGGACACGGAGCGCCGATCCCAGACAAGGGCAGGGCGCACCTTGCAGGTCTTCATCTGGCGCTCAGAGCTCAGTCCTGAGCCCCCAAGGTTGCTGACCTGTCCTGATTTCGTAGCCCGCCCCCTCCTCACTGGGGTTCCCTTAACCAGACCGAACACCACCCCTCCCAGGAAGCCTTCCAGGTTTTTCCCATGCAGGGGTTCCCCACCGTCGTTGGGCCTCCTTGGTCTCGCGCCACCCCGAGCTGGGTCACCTGCCTCTGCGTCGGGTGCCCCGATGGCCGCGAGCTCCTCAGAGGCGGGGGGCGGGGTTGGATCTCTCTCACTCATTAGTGCTTGGCACGGAGCTCTGCACACATTAGGTGCTTAATAAGTGTGTGTCTTCTCCCACACTGTCTATACTTGTCGACGCCACTATGACCTATTTCAAACAAGGGCAGGTGACATACGCATCGGTGTCTCGGGACGGGACTGATGTCGGGCATCCAGCCGCCTCTGCCCAGCCCTGGCTGTTCTCCGGGAGGGTCTGAGCTTCTGGAGGGGGCTTCGTGGCCGCCCCGGACCCCACACCTGCCCCCCCCCTTGCTGCGTGTCCCTCCCCTGGGGCCCCTGCTCGGTGGCAGTGCTCTGGTGGTGACGTGTTCCTCGCCCCCCAGCCTGTCTGGCCAGCTGCCCTGCCTGCCCAGGGCGCACACCTCTATTCTGTGCCCACTGTTCTCCGATTCCCTGAAAATAGCCAATTTTATCTCCTGGGTGACAGCAAGCAGCTGGAAGGCCTGGCCCCACTTCTGTGCCCTGGCCAGGACCGTCTGGGACCTTGGGCCAGGCCGTCCTCTCTCTGGGTCTCCGCCAACCCCATTCCTGCCCTGGGCCCCCTCACCGTTCCCAGGCTCCCCTGTGCTGTCCTCCCAGGACCCCACGAGAGACGGTAAGGAGCTACCCGGGGCTGGGCAAGCCTGCGCCTGTCGGGAGGCCATACGCAGTCCGCAGAGATGACCCGCTCTGGAGGGGCTCAGGTGAGCGGGGCCAGTCAGGGCCCACCTGGGTCGTGTGCTCCATGCAAGCCTCACATGCCGAACCTTAACGGGGTCAGCTGAGTGCAGAGGTCAGGAGCAGGTTGGGGGCAAACTGGCCCTGTCCACAGCGCTGCATGGCCACTAGGAGCTGGGCCCTGTGGGAAGCCACCGGTTTCCCCTCAAGTCTCAGGGAGGGACCTAAAGCTGGAAAGAGCTACTGACGGAGGGCTGAGCTCTCTGTCACTGGAGGTATACAAGCAGTGGCTGCTGGTCTTATGGGTGTTCCCAGTCCTGACTCCCTGCTGACCCGCTGGTTCCTGGAAACCTGCTTGCATCCCTCTGCTCTCTGCCCTGACATCTCTCAGGGCCCCTGTTGCCTCTGAGATCCAGCACCTTCCCCCGCCAATGCCCAATTGGGTCTTCGTCAGTTGAGTCTGGGTTTGCCCTTGGCAGAGAGGGTGAGGCAGGGGCCTTAGGAAGGAGCAGGGAGGACCTGGGGTGGTGCCAGGCCAGCGGTGCTGGGGAGATGGGGGTGAGGCAGGAGGGCCAGCCCCAGGGCTGGCAGAGGGAGGGAGGGAGGGAGCGACCCAGGCGAGAGGCCCCTGCCCTGCAGGGCCCCGGCCACCCGCTCTTCTGGGGGAAGGTGGCTCCGCTGGACCCAGGGCTTGGGCCGGGCACTAGGGAGCCTGTGGCCTCTGTGGCAAACAGCACCGGCGCCGGCCACAGAGAGAGGCTTTTCTTTGGAGTTTGAACGGTCTGGTGTGGTTCATACACTCAAACTGCTCACTCACTCTGAATCTGGGGCCACACCAGCCGCCCGTCACCTCTGGCCACCCACTCACGCCGACGCACATCAGACACGTGGCCCTAGCTCCTTCCTCCCCGTCCACACCGCCTCTGCACACTCTCCAATGTTCTCCAACCCCCTCGTGTACCCCCTGCCCCTGGTCTCCAGGGAGGAGGGCTCAGTGGTGACCCTATTTGTAACCCCAGCCCCAACCCAAGGCCAAAACCAATAACCCCCCCCACAAATAAATAGCATATAAAAGAAACCCAAATCTTTCCCTAAACCCCCACAGTAAAAACCCAGTACAAGCATTTGGGTTCTTCCCTTTGCAGATTTTTTTTTTTTTTTTTTTTAGTAGACATAGTCTCTTTCTCGTTTTACAGCGAACATTGCAAATATAGAAATATTTTTCTGTACAACGGGACGACGACAGCGTACGGTGGGGACGGGGACAGAGCACACACGCCCAGCCCGCGACCCTTCCAGCCACCCCAGGCACAGCCCTCCCTGCGCCCCTCGCGCCCTGCAGGGCTCTGGGCGGGTCCTGGAGGCCACCCGGCCGCCTCACTCGCTCTGTCCCCTCTTTGGTGGCCTCTGGAGTTGGCAGCAAAGAGATGGACGGAGGAGAGAATCCACAGCAAACCAGGACAAGGAGATCGTGGGAGGAGCCGGGTGGCCACACAGGCCGCACCCCCCGTGTCTGGTGTTTTATGTCTTTAAGAGATCTTTTATTTTTTTCTTTAAAAAAGGAAGAAAATAAAGACAGGAAGATCAAGAGGCAGAGAAGAGTCAAAGAGGAAAGATAATGAAAAAAAAAGTCCCCTCCCCCACCCCTAGACACAGTTTTCTCAAGTCCCTTGTGTGCGCGCGTCTGTCTCCGTGTGTGTGCGTGTCTATGTGCACAGTGTGTGTGTGTGTGGAGGCCGCGGCTCATCCTCTGTTGTGAGTGGCAGCACCCCCTCCCCGCGCTGTGGGCCCCAGGCTTCCACACTGGCCGTGTGCGTGTGTGCACATGCATCTGTGTGCACGCGTGTGTGTATGTGCATGTGTGCGTGCATCTGTCTCCGTGTGAGCGTGTCTATGTGCACGTGTGTGCACGTGTATGCACGTGTGCGCGTGGGTCTCCGTGCACGTGTATGCATGTGTGTGCATGTCTCCATGTGAGCGTCTGTCTCTACGTGCACGTGTGTATGCGTGTGCGTGCATGCGTCTGTGCGTGCACGTGTGAGCGTGTGCATGTGTGCGCGCGTCTCCGTGTGTGAGCGTGTCTGTCATGTGCACGTGTGTATGCGTGTGCACGCATGCGTGTGTGCACGTGTGTATGCGTCTGTGCGCGTCTGTCTCCGTGTGTGCATGGGTCGGTGCGTGTGTCTACACGTGTGCACGTGTGTGGTGCGTTGCGTGGGAGTCTCTGGGTTACGAATAGCTGCAGTGGGTCTTGTGTCCTTTTTGGTCCCGTGGGCATCACAAGTCCCGGGGAAGGTGCGGGGCGGGCGCCGGCCGCGGGCTCAGGACTTGTGCTGGGCTGACACGCCCTTCCAGTAGTCCAGGATGTCGTGGAGGTCCTCGTCTTTGGCGAACTGAACCTTCTTGCGCAGGGCGTGGCCGGCCGCCATGAACTGCTCGTCGTCCTTGTGCCGCCGGCGGCTCAGTCTGAAGCGCTCCCAGATGCTCTGGGAGGCCCTGCAGGTGTACTCGGGGCTGGAGGAGTAGCTCAGGTTGTGGTACTGCGGGGACAGCTGAGAGTAGGCCAGGTCGCGGGGCCGCGGCCGGGTCAGCGGCTCCAGGATGGACGCCTTGCGGCCACCCAGGCTATCATGGGGCGGGGGCGCGGGGGGCGCGGGGGGCTCGGCGGGGTGGGAGCCGGGGTACGAGTGCCGGTGCTCGCCATAGTGGCGGCCCTTCTCAGCCTCGGCCCGCAGCACAGCGGCCGCGGGCGTCACAGTGAGGATGGCGTCGGGGGCTGGGGAGCTCTTCTCAATGTACTTGGCCTCGGCGGCCACGGCCTTGTGCGCACCAGCGGCCTCGGCACGGAAGGCTCGCGGGCTGCGTGCGGAGCCACTGGACGAGGTGCTGGCGCGCGGCGGCCCAGTGGCCGCCTCCACGCTGTGGTGCCGCTGCAGACCATGGCTGAAGGTGTCCTTGTAGACGGGGGCCAGGAAGCCGTGCTTGCCGGCCAGTGGCTCCGACAGCAGCACCAGCTGTGGCTCGGCTGTGGACACGGCCCCGGACTTGCCGCCCTGGAAGGAGGTGGCCTCGGACTTGAGCGCGTCGATGCAGTTGTTGATGATCTGGTTAACTTTGTCCACCTCCTTGGCGATGGTGGAGATTTCGGCCACGGAGCTCTGGCTGTCGGGGCCGGGCCGGCCCAGCTCGCAGTCCCTGTGCTCCATCTGCTCGCCCGTGCGGACCTCCATGTAGTTGCCCTTGCTGGCCTTGGGCGTCCCGCCACTCTCCCCCAGCTTGTACTGCTCTACTTCGCTGGCGGGCGCCGGCAGGTATGGGATGCGGGTCACCGCCTCGGGCCCCAGGAGCGGGCCCTGGGACAGCGGGGCCAGGCCGGGGGCCTCCAGCTCGGGCCCGTACTTGAGCTCGATGATGGTCTTCTTGAGGCTGCCAGCCGCGGCCGCCTTCTTGTGCTTCTCCTCCTGGCGCCTCCGCCTGCGCAGACAGCAGTAGACGGCGCCGAGCACCAGCACCATGCCGAACAGACAGCCCAGGACGGTCATGATGTAGTGGGTGGCCGTGGGCGGGCTGGGCACGGGGCCCGGCGGGCTGGGCGGCCTGGGCAGGCCGATGGTGAGGCAGGTGTGGTTGTGGCGCAGCCCGGAGCTGGTGGACACCACGCAGTAGGTGTAGTTGGTGAGCGTGTACAGGTTGGTCAGGCGGATCTCCTCCTGGGGCTTGGTCAGCCGGGACACGGTGGACGAGCGGCTGTTGTTGAAGTGCTCCAGCGTGTACATACGGGTGAACGGGCTGGGCAGCTGCACCGTGATGGTGGCCGAGTTCTGGGTCAGCTGTTTGACCTTCAGGAGGGGCCGCGCCTCGGCCTGGGGGGCCAGCGTGGGCAGGGCCACCAGCGGCGTGGTGCCGTCACCCGAGAAGCACTCCTCGTCGGCACACGGGGCCTCGCTGGGCTCCGGCGGCGGGGGCGGGGGCGGAGGCGGCGAGCGGCCAGGGGGCAGGTGTCCCGGCGCCGGGGGCGGCTCAGCCACGTGGGCACCATCGGTGCACACGGACTGCAGCTTGCTGAGGATGCTGCGCTGGCCGTGGCGGCCCTGGCCCAGGAGGAAGTAGCCGGAGTAGAGCGGCGGCGACTCGCACTGCATGCGGTCATAGGTGTGCGTGGCATTGGTGAAGGCCGCCAGCCAGCGCAGGAAGCCCAGGAGCTCGCAGGAGCAGTAGAACGGGTTGCTGTAGAGCTCGCACACAGACAGCTTGGCCAGGCCCGCGAAGGTGGTGCTGTGCAGCCGCTGGATGCGGTTCATGGACAGGTCGACGTTGACGATGTTGGGGCACTCCCAGAAGGCGCTGGGCGTGACCACCTCGATGAGATTGGCCTGCAGGTACAGGTACTCCAGCTTGCTCAGCCCACGCAGCACGCCCTCTGTCAGGTTGCGCAGTCGGTTGTAACCCAGCTGCAGCACCTGCAGATTGAACTGGCCCGAGAAGGCACCGTCCTCGATGTAGGCGATCTCGTTCTTGGTGAGGTTGAGGTACGTGAGGTTGCCGAAGCGGCTCAGCGAGGCGTACTGCACGCTGCGGATGCGATTCTCGTTGAGCCGCAGGTCCACGATGGTGTTGTTGATCTGCTGAGGGATGGCCTCATACGGTGGCTGGTTCTGGCTGCAGATGGCCAGCCACACGAAGCCCTTGTCACCCTCGATCAGCCAGCAGTCGCCGTGCACCAGCCCACCCCCGTGCAGCAGGATGGCCGCCACCACGCACACCCACAGCACGCCCCACCGGCACCCAGCCATGGGGACCGCCTTCGCGGGAGACCCCGCGTCTGCCTGCCCAGGGGGACCAGGTGGGGGGCTGGGCAGCAGCCCCTGGAGGGACAGAGGGGCAGGTGGGGAGGGGGCCGGCGCTCTCAGGGGTGTCCTGTCCCAGACCGCATGGTGGCGTTGCGCGGGTGCTGGGAGCCAGCCACCTCCCTCACTGCCCGAGGCCCCCGGTCATCCTGCCGGGGCCGTGGCCTGCCGGGGCCGTGGCCGCCTCCCCCATCGGCCTGGGCGTCTGGACAGCTCCGCCCCGCGCCTCCAGCTCCGTGGTCCTGTGGCAAGACAGAAGAGGAGAGAGCCGTCAGGAGAGGCTGGGGTTCCGGCAGGCCCCGCGGCTGAGTGTGGCCCTGCACCAGGCCCCGCCGAGCCACCCGGTCAAACAAGGAGGCACATTTGGGGAGCCCATGATCTGGCAGGACGATGCCAGGTGACAGAAAGGCTCAGAGCAGGCTGTGTCTCGAGGGAGGGGAGAGAAGGGAAGCCCCGGACCCCAGCCCTCCCCGGCCCCCAGCCCCGTTTCCTGTCGGAGGGGACAAAACCCCACCTCCTCCTTTGGGCTGGGCTCAAAGGGATGGTGGCCCCAGAGAATCCAGAACCATGTGACTGGTGCAGGGCCACTCGCGTGACAGACGGGAGACAGGGACGTCCTCTCCCCAGAGGGCCCGGCCACAGACTCACAGCCGCCTGCAGAGGGTGCTTGGAGCCGCGGCCCAAGGGTCCTCAGCCGCAGCATGCAAATCCCGCCAGAGCCCTCAGCTGGCCTCCGGCTCCCCTCCAGGGAGGTGCAGGAAGGCAGCTGACTCCGAGGACGGCTAGGTTCTGGGTCTGAGCCCTCCTGCGCTGGGTCCGGGCACATCACACCCCTCTGGCTGGCCCTCAGGTTCCCCAAATGAGCCAGTTGGATGGCCTCAGGGGACTGGAGCCATCACATCCCCTCATGGGGGATCCTGGCGGAAAGGCCTGGAAGGAAGGAGTAACTCTGCCAAGAATCCCCCACGACCCCTGCCCAGGCTCAGGCAAGGACCATCCCCTCCTGGCTCCGTCAGCCAGCTCCCAAGATGTGACGTGAGGGGACGGACCCTACACATCCCTGGGGCGGGCCGTCCCTCCTATGTCCGGCTGGGGAGCCCCACGGGCAGGGAGATGTGGCTGGACGCAGCAGCTCCCCGAGTACGCCCGCCCCGGCCACAGGAGGACCTCCGGTCTGCGGGACCTGCCCTCTGCCCCCTGCAGGTCTCCCGCACCACAGACGAATGGGCGTGCGTTTCCTCGTTAATATTTGGATTTATAGCCGGCCTCTGTGACCGCTCTGTGGCCTGGCTGGCAGCCCGCTGAGTGTATTTCACGGATACTGACGTTTGCAACTAGTCTGCACTGAGGCCGCTTAAATTAGGGAACAAAATATAATGATGTGAAACGGATTTTTTTCCCCTTTGGAAACTTCATGGAGCATCGTTTTGATCTGGCTCCTGGGGAAGAGAGGGGAGCGATCAGACTGGGTGGGCCTGGGGAGAGGTCCTCCTGGGCCGAGGCAGAGCCCACCCCTGGGCCGGCCCCATGGCTGTGTGATTCCCTGCAAAGCACTGGGCCTCCCTGGACCCGGTCGGCAGTGGCTCCAGGGGCTGGGTGGGGCAGGGAGCGAGCCTGTTGGGGGTTGCTGGGATCCCCGCGTGGTGTCCCTGGGGAGCAGGACAGAGTCGCTGTCCTGCGACGCCATGCCTCCGCCCCACCTGTAGCTACCCCTCCACCAGGGGACCCGGTGTGCGGCAGGTGGGGGAAGTGTGGGGCAGCCCAGCTCCTGCCGTGGAAGCAGGTGCGTGGAGCAGGCCTGTCTAGGAAGAGTGGCGCCTCAGCAATGCTGATTGTAATCACCTTTTAATCTCTTGCTCAAAATAACCCAAAGTCAAGTTAAGGAGGATTACAGGCCCTGAAGACGCCTGCCTGTGGAGGAGAGACGGGGCCCCCAGCCTCCCCGCCTCCCCGCCAGGGCCACTCGGTGCCGTGGTGGCTCTGGGGAGCTGCGACACACGTGGGTTTGTGTGCATGTGGGGCTCACACACGTATGTACTCTGCACGTGCAGGTCTGCGTGTGCAAGGGTGAAGATGTACTGACACACGCAGACCTGCACATGGACGGGTGTGCCTTCCGGAGAACACGGCTCCGTGGAAGCATGCATACCTGGTGTGCAGCACCGCGAGGTCCACCAGCCTCACCCTCACCACTGCCACCACGGGCGCCCCCAGCCCAGGGCACCAGTCTAGGAATGTGGCACCTTGGGACGGGCACATGGTTCTGGGGACCCGTCTCACCTCCCCTGTGCACCAGCCCCACCCCCCCCGAGCCACCTCCACCAGGCTGGCCCACGTGATGAGGGAGGCAGGGCTGGACCCTGGCCCCGAGGACAGGACATGTCGCCACCCCAGGTGCTCCCTCTGGCCTGGTGGGCGTCTTGCTCCCACCTTCCTGCGTCACGCCTGCCCCCAGAGCCTGGGCCGCGTGGGGATGGGAGTCCTCTGTCCTCACTGGCCTCAGGGGGAGGAACACGCTAGGAGGCTGGGTGTGACCCTGCTGGCCGGTCCCCTATGCCCTTTTTACAGCCCCCAAGACCTGGCCTCAGCGGGACCCCGGGATTTTCGTTCCACAACTCACCCTGCAGACAGGAAGCGGAGACCAGTGCAAGGTCACACACCCTCCTCCCGTTGTGGCTGGGTGTCCACGCCCACAGGTGCCTCATCCCTCCAGGAGGCCCCTCGGCTGCAGGGACCCGGATCCCCAAGCGGAGGGGTTAACACCCCACGGGCTCGGGAAACAGATGCCCAGGGAAAAGGCCGAATCCGCTAGGAGGGTTCTGCTTGGGTGGCGCGCCATCCCCAGGACCGCCCTCTCCTCCCGGACTCACTCGTTCATCCGTCAGTCCTCTGTACCTGGCCATATCACCAGCCCCGCCCCCTTCACCCCTCATTTCTTCCCATACACACCTGTCCTCTGCGCCCAGCCAATCACTCATTAAACAAACGTACCCAGGACGCCTGCGGAGTGTGCGCCAGGCCGGTGGGGGCCACAGGCTGCCCGCATCCCTGCAGGCCTGGGATCCCTCTGCCAGGGCCTCTCCCTCCGCACCATCCCTGCCCGCTCATGGTGCTGTCCAGCCGGGCAAGCCCTGGCCCCATGCCGTACTGGACAGCACAGTTCTAGAACCTTCCATAGAAACAACTTGACCCAAATACCCTCCAGTCCCTGCCCCATCTCCTTCCCCTCGTGGCAGATTTTCTTGAAGGGGCCACTAGCAGTTTCGGGCTCCAACCCCTCCAGCGCAGCGTCCACCTGGCACCCCCGCGCGGTCACCGGCGACCCGTCTTGCCAGCTCTGAGGGCATGCCGTGTTTTTATTTCCTCACGGCCCCTCAGCAGCACCTGGCCCAGGTAACCAGCAGCTCGCGCCTGCAGCCCCTCCTGCTTCTGGTCTCCAAGCTGCTGCCTCGCCAGCCCAGTCCCCTCCACGGTCCCTGAGGCTAGGCTCCGGCCTCAGCCTGCACCCCCGCTGCTCACTTTCCCGGGGCTCTCAGCCCCACCCAGACTCACAGACACCTCCCCGTCTGAGCGCGTGCCCCACCTCCACCCGGTTCCTCAAACCCCGAATCCGTGCGCTCCCCTCGCTCGCGACCCCCAGCCCAGAAGCAAAAGCATCCACCCCACCTCCCAGGGTCTCCAGGGTCGTCTTCTGGCCCCTGCGACCACGGCCACGCTGGTCCAGGTCCAAGCCACCACCACCCCCTCCGACTGGGCCGAAGCCGGCGGCTCCCTCCAGCTGCCCACAATGCACTCCCCCTCTGCAGCCACGGGGACCTGGGAGCGCAGTCATGGGATCCTGCCACTCCGCCATCCCCGCCCACAACCCTGGATGACATCCGAGCGGAGGAAAACCCAGGCTCCACCCGGACCTACCAGGCCTTGCCTGCTGCCAGCCCCCCTGCACCCACCACCCCCGTCCTTCCGCCCTGGTCGCTCCCTGCAAAGCTCTTGCTTCGCAACCTCGAGCCAACAGCTCCCCCAGGCTGAACAGCACCCCTTTTAAGCCCCTGCCTGGCACTTGCTGATTTCTTTATTCACTGCTGGTGCCTCCCCACTGGGACGCAAGCTCCAGCGCAAGAGCCCCATGTCCCACCGGCTGCAGGGACATCCCCAGCCCATCCCCAGCCCAGAGAGGCAGCTCTGGGGGAAGGACCAGCCTTCAGCTCAGTTTTCTCATCTGTGAAATGGGAGTAAAACATGCCTCCTCCCCAAGGGGCTTGGGACTTCCCCAAATCATTACCTTCTTGAGTTTCTTGGGCCAGTGAGTGGGAGCTGTCCCCAGGCCCTGCAGGGATACAGACCACCCCTGCAGCCACAGCCCACGTCACTGGGGGCCACACCAGCCCGAGCCGCCCCTGATCTGTGGATTCCGACGCATCCGGTGGGATGAAAAATGCACGTCTGATGTCCTCACTTTGCAAAACACCCACCTGCACCCCCAGCGACGTTTCTCGGTACACACATATCCCCCATGATGGACCGAGGCCCCTGAGCACACGGCCCCGGGGAACTTGCCGGCCCCCGCTGCCCGCTTCCTTCACGGACGCCTCACGCTGGCCCCTCCAAGGCCCCAGGATGAGGAACCCACATTGCAGAGGGACGGGGCTTGATTTCTGGCCCCGACGGGAACAGATTCGGGGCCAGTCCCTGCTCACCTCACTTCTGCCTTCAGTCAGTGTGCATGGAGCCTGGGGTCTCCTCGTGTCCCAGCAGAGACCAGAAGCCCCCCCCGGCTCCAGGTGGTGCCCTGTGCGGTTGGTGTTCGTGTGCACATGGCGGCCAGCCTTCAGGTGTGCATGTCTGTCTGTACATGTGTACACGGGCCCGTGTGTAAGCACGTATCCACGGCCCCACACCTGTCTCCGCACATGTGTGTTCACGCGTGCCTGGGAGGGGTCTGACAG